AAGTATTATAATAAGTACGGCACATATATGGTTAATATTGGCTGCAGCACTGCAGTAAATCACCTACACTTTCAAGCAATCTTGGAGTTGCCGCTCATGTGAGCAAACATTTTCACTGAAGCCAGACATCGCCCCATTTGATCAACGTGACATCCAAGCATCGGAAAGCCGACACCTGGGTCCTTTAGCAACGGTTGGCTTGAGATAGTGGAATCCCCATAGAGGAAGTGGGGTCGCATTTGTATTCCTGAAAGCGGAGGTGGAGGGTGAGATGAAAACGGTGCAGAATTTTTGGATGTGGTGGAGGGTATGGTGTTTTTTTACTTGGGAGAAAATATGGTCCCATTAAGAATATAGGATCCCCTCCCAATATTACAATCAAGGAATTGTCGGTCCTTTTAACTGTTCATTGTGTCTTACCCAATGGGGGATGGGTGCTTGGGGAGATGTGGGACAAACGAAAGGAAAATGGAGTTAGTGGGAACCACAAATCCAGAATGGGCTCCTTGGCATCCTTGATAATCAGAAAATGACCGTATCGGCGGATAAGCTCCTTCCACGGCATGATGTGCCCTGTTTAAAAATGTCTGGCTCTGGCGTCTGAAGGAGAACCCAAGTTCCGTGACACCGGGTTGATTTGTCGGCCACAAAATCATACCTGACCTGGCTTCCTGATTGTCTTCCAGATCACCGACGTCGTGGACCTCCGGGACTGCGCAAATTCGAGCGACAGTCCTGCCGCTATACAGCCGTCTTCTCATGGCAGTCTTGTAACACGTGTTGCAAGATCGCTAGCCGTGTGAACGAGAAAGTTCCAATGGTGAGCCGTTCTTCGAAATTCCCTGAAATCAAAAAAATGGTCAGTAAGTCAAGGCGTTTCGGTTTTAGAGCAGCATCACCGGTGCGCTGTTCGTTTTCGATCCTGACATGGACTTCAAACGTTCTTCCGATCGTCCCGAGGTTGGTTTATCCCTCGTGAAGATCATTTCTCAACCAGGGCATATAGCTCATAATATACAAAGGGCTGTCCCTGATCCATGAGAAGATAAAGAAAAGATAAAAAAAATCTGGCAGAAATGGGTAATCCCTTCAGCGCACGTTAAGCAGTTTTACTTTTACAAAGTCGCATGAACATTGGAGTGAGGGCTGTGATGACGTGTGGGTGGCAGTCGTTGCTGGAATTATTATTTTTAACTTATTTTTTTTGTAGCTGCACCATTATGCCGCAGTTCGCGTTTGCGAATGTTCATCAAGTCATGCTGAGTTTAGGCAAAAGATCGCTAGCCCAGCAGAATCCGTACTCGGATCTCTTGGCTTTGAACTGGTAGCAGTGCTATTTTGAAAGCAAGAGATCCGGGTACCTTCGCTTTCGCCCCGGTTTGGGCAGAAGTTTTGCCCACAACTCAGCATTATTGTGATAGCTGAAATTATTGTTTTTGTCGCCCCAGACAACCCAACTGAAGGGGATTTACCTCGGAGAAAAATGAAGGGCCTAGGTCAACCCAAAATTTGACCCGCGGAGTGGGAAATTGGTTGAGGTCATACAGCATTTCTGGAAAAGCTAATTTTCTTGAATCTCATACTCACTTCGAAGTGAATAAAATTTTTTTGATTATGTTTACATCTATCGAGGAAATGTGTTCATAACGAGTTCACGGTAAGGTTACCCAAAATCGCGTTAAATTTTACGGTCATTACGGTAAACAGGCGTGTTGTTCCCTTACCTTCAGATCACTTTGTATTTGACTAATTTCCTTTTTTTTCAGGAAAAAAGTGAAAAGGCCGTACAATGTGTTTGCTGCGCACCAAAAATGTATTGAAACATCAGACATCAGGAGAAAAATCAACTCGTCGGTTTTAATGTAATCTCGAGTGAATAAAGAATAACCTTTGCTTTGAAGAATCCCTGTAAAATTTTCCGAGGTGTTTTTAATTTCCGAATCAAAAGCTACGAGAAGGTTCCCAATTTTTTGAAAAGAGGATGTGACAAAAAGTGAACAGAACTTTTTTTTGAAAAAAAAATAAAATAATTAAGATCATAGATGATATCATATATTCGAATGAGCTCCACATTCGACTGTCACTGAAAGTTGGAGATGGGAGGGGGTCTGCACTAACCTTACACGCTCGATTCAGGACCAAATGTTCAAGAATTTCTTCGCTTCGCTATGACGCACCAATGAGCCTAGTTGGCTAGAAAGCGTGGAACGCTGACTTAGGCTAACAGAGACTTGACTTACCAGCAACTGTAAATATCACTTCGACGCACTCGTAGATCAAAGGAAGCACTGAAACAGGTTAAGGCAATCGGGTAGGTCAGTCCCTTTTGAGATGCGCCGGGCATTTCCTATCATTCAGAATCGTGTAGCGCTTCAATGCGACTTGGTCCATGCAACGAATTGCAAGAAAGTGCTGATGAACTGCTAGTGGTTTTTTCCTCCTAGAGAACTGATGGCAATTAACTGACTCGGAACCAATGGAGAGAGTCTAATTAGCCCGCACTGCGTACTGTCCAAAGGATTTGACCTCAGACCAAGCGCGTAGTGAGCACCGCGGTCAGGGGTCAAATCATGGACAGTGCTACTCCCGACCTGAAGAAAAGTTGTACCAACATTATCACAATGAGTTCGAAGTGCTTCTTTAATTCACTTTCCAGCATTAACAATTAAAGCGATCAGGCGTTCACCGTTGATCAAGTCCTTTGAGGGTAATTGGGACCTAGGGTACAGAAATTTCCTTCCTCAAAATGTACTGCCGCTAGGTAGAACCACCTATAGCGAGGTCTTTAATGCGTACGAAAACTGTTTGTATCAAAAAATACATTACAATTGCGGCACTTCTAGCCACCACTTCAACTTCGGTGTTCAAATCACCTGGATTGCGAACTATACCGCGAAGTGCGAACGAACGATTACTATTGGAAACAGGTATAAGTTCCCGAGAATCAACCTATTCCTGATTCAATGATAAATATACCCTCCGGAAGCACCCAACTCTTCTAATATCTTGATGAAAAAAATACACTTCATCTAACCACATTCATTACAACAAGAGACCATGGGCAAAGGAACAAGGAGTAACGACACTTCATGGAAACGTTACTATCATAGTATAACCAATGAAAAATAGTATACTATAAACAAAACAGTACACGAAAACATACCAAAATCACGAACAAGGGCGCCACAACGGCTGAATTCATCATCTCATAACTACTACCTCTGTAATTACATCCAAGAACAAATCTCCTCGGGTAAAGAAACAAGTTAAAATATAAGAACTCATAACAAGGAGGACGTAACAATCAGTAAAATCCTGGCTGAGGAGGAGGTGCACCGTAACCGGACATTGGAGGAGGCGGCACAGTGAAGCTCGACATTGGAGCCTTGTAATGGGGAGCCTCAGTTCATTTCTTGTCGAGAGCGATAATTAGCAGTCGCTGCGCCAGCGGAGACTGCTCTACCCAGCTAATCTACAGCCGGGAGTGTTGCGAAAGCTCCTGAATTAAGAACGAACTTTAAAAAAAACTTACAGTAGCTGTCGCTTCCTGAGGTTTTGGGGTTAGGATATTGCGAGCAATGACTGCATCAGGGAACAATTCATGATAGGAAGACACCGGTACGTAATTCGCAGTAATGACCTAAAATTTTAAAAACCGGTATTTTGTCTCTATTAACTGCGAAAACATTTGAAAATCAATGTAAAAATGCCCAAATGTAACTCAATTCTACAAATGATACTACAAAACCGCTAAAGCAGCTCAAAAACGCGAACCATTGCCATCCAACCTCAAATATTTCGTATATCTATGTACTCAAAAGAGCCTTTGAGACGGGAATTGAACCTTACCTTTCCGCTAAACCACCGTCCATGTAATGCAGAAACACTTTTATGGGCACTGGCCACTGATGGACACTTCACATACACGTTACCCTGTGGACTAGCTGTGTCCACGTAAACATGGAGCGCTCCACCGTTCTTATAACATTCTTCAATGACATCCTGAAACATATGAGTAAATGAGGACGGAAAATCGAAGAAAAGTAAGTAAAGTAAGGGAAGTAAATGAGGATCCCATTACGCCTATACTCCGCTTTAGAGAACCAGAAAAGCGTCGAGTGCGGATCACACACCGCAAGTGACGACAGCCTCTACAGAATGTATGTGTTTTCTGCCAATGAAATGAATAGCCTGATGCAATTCTAAATCTTTCACTTGCCTTTAATCGGAACTTTCATTTACCAACTATCAGCTATCACTATGAATCATTAGTTACAAGATTTACTTGGAGGCCGTCGTCACTTGTGGTGTGTATTCTGCATGCACTCGACACGTTTCTAGTTTTCTAAAGCAGAGGTTGCCTTCGACTTACGTCCCGCACTTCCACGGCCCATGTAGGACGGGTTTCTGTTCGAGGATCAAACATGTTCGATAACATAAAGCATTGGGTAGCTATGGCAGGAATCGTGGGATCAACAGCTTGCTGCTGGAGTGCCTGCTGGGCGGCTTGTGGCAATTCAATTCCCGTACCTGAAGATGACAATATTAAATGTGCCTAATTAAAGTTGTCTGTCTTTACTCGTTTAAGTAGTATTATAAAAGATTTCCTCGATACTGGATTCATATTAGCTCACTAAAGAAAAGGGCTGAAAAACGACGCAGAGAGTACTAATATTTGGTATCTTATTTGAACATAAATACGCGGCAAACTACACAGCAATAACCAATCACTAAACTTAGTCTCTTTCGCAGAATTACACAGCAGTAACCACTCACTACTCAGTCTTTTTCGGAGACTGCCTGACATAAGCGAATAAATAATAAAGCGGTGAAAAGCACTCGAAAGTAAACCGATTCCAATAAAAGCAGAACGAAGAAGAAGCGAATAGGGATATTCTTCCACACCAAATTTCAACAGAAAAGCAATACGTACCTTCTGCAAGCTTAGCCATAAGTTGGATACGTCCTCCTTGTCCAAGAGCTAGACCTTGTTTTTCATCAGCAACATCATCCAAGCTTCGTTGCCGTATCGAGTCCTCATCCTGAGACAGAAAAGCTTTTCAATCCAAGCATTAAAAGCCACAACCAACACTCGATCAACCAAGGTGCGAAAAATTACTCTTGGAACTACTTGGGAACTCACTTCATCGATAATCGAAACTTTGATAGGTTTTCCAGCAATTTCAAATCCATTCAGCTGTTCCATTGCTTTCTGGCCGTCCTCAGTTAATTTGAACTAGAAAGAGAAATGTAAAAAAGACAATACGCGAAGGACTGAGAGGATCAAGAGGCAATTAAAGAAAGTTATAATAATAAAACGACAAGAAAAATGAATGGAATATATGAAATAAATCCAAATTCGGTCGCATGTACGGTACTATAGGGAAACCAACCGTTACGAAACCATAGCCTAAACTGTTTCCAGCAGGATCTTTAACTATCTCGATCTTCTCGACACGTCCAAAGGCATCGAAAATTCCATCGAGCATACTCTCCGTGATGTTGGGATGTAATTGCTGCACATGAAGCTTGCAGGGTCCCTAAATTAAAAGATACTGAACAATTCAAGCTGTACAGCTCTTTAAACAACAGCTACAATTGAGCATTTCCAAGGAACCGTACCAGTAATGAAGGAGCAAAAAAAGAACAGATCAAACCTTAGAGGGAGCTGGACCAAAGCCAAGGGAAGTGCCAATAGTTGCATTGGCCGCACGATTACGCTCAGCACATGTACGTTGAATCACAAGAGGAGCACCTGAAAACATAGCAATATCACGTAATTGTACAAAGCAGGTGGCTGAATGTTATTCGATTACTTCCGGGCAAAATTTGAAATAAAATACACACAAACCTAAGAGTTTCTGCCCACTAAGAGCCAATCCAAGAGGGACACTTTCTTCTTCCCAAAACTCGACGTAGGCGATTCCCTTTGATCGTCCCGTACGTGAATCGGTAATAATTCGCACATCGCGCACACTGCCCACAGCACTGAAGAATTCTTCGAGATCACGCGGTCGGGTTTGTCTGGCAATCTGAAACAAACTATAGACCACTCTGAGATAACATTAAACCTATTCGGTCGGTACTGAACTATTATTAAATCTACTACAAGGTTGAGCAACAATTGCGCCTTATCATTTCACTCATGAAATTATCAAAACCAAATAAAAACAACAATAAATGCGTAATCAACAAACGCTCTCGAACAGTCCTCTCTGCAACCGTGCCTTCATCCCAGGCTTCATTGATTCTACGAGCAGATGCAGAAGCATTCGGTTTCGAGCTCAACTTGCACTCATGTAGCATGAGCAATCTTTTTTGCTCGCGTGTAAGCTCCAGAGTGAAGCAAGGCACACAAGTTTGTACATCAAAATGTACAAGAGATTGCGCGCTTTCAGACTACATCATAATCTTCGAAATAATCAGAAAAAATCAAAGAGCCATGAGCCTCAAAAAAACCGCGGATAATTTTTGCTCAACTAATATTTACTTAAATCGGACTAACAATTCACGTCCATTCGAAACGTAAAACTGCAAACAAATCAATTTATCAAACTGAAAACGAAGCACCAACGATAGATGGTGGTGTTACGCATCAGCAGCAGGTGAGTACTGTTATTAAAATGAAATCAAACGAAACATTAATATTTAAAGTCTCGCCAAAAGTGACCATCAAGTCATGTGTAACAGCGCCTTCAACACATCGACGACAGTGATTGGTTGCGCGACTCACCCTCTTCATCTATATTTTTCAGCGCATGCCCCCTTTTCCCAAAATCTTTGCATTTAGTGTAGAAATATTGTAGATCATACATTACCCTAACTAGAAACACACAGTTCACGGTGTGGTCCGTGTAGGTTAAGCAGAGATTTTCGAAGCGTTACGAAACTAGCAGCTTGGTTATCTTCTCGTTTTCCTCATATTGTCACGGTCATGTGTATAAAAAAGAGTAGTAATAGTGAACACAAACTATGTGGATAATAAGATGTATGTTTTCCC